CCAGGAAGAAAGGAAAAGCGTAAGGGAGCTTTCTGGGTATGAGTGTTGTGGACGATGTGGTTTCTTTAAAGAATTACTTGGAGATTAATCTGATGGACACTCAATGATTCTCTCAAAAAGTAATGCAGGGAACTGCGTCATCTCTTCCGTGCCCAGGAGAGCTAAAAGAGCAGCTCTCCACTAGGTAGGGCCAGGAGGAAGCTGGGTTCAAGGCTGGAAAGTCACATGAAGGATGTATGTCAGGCACAGTGAGTGGAGATGTTGAGCCAGGCTGAAATGACCAACAAAACTTGTCACCCACCCACTGTTCTATAGAGTCACACCCCCCTGGATCCTCTCTCCAGCAGTAAACCCCTCCCTGCCATGTGGACAGCTAGCTGAGCCTGTGCTGCACTGAACACACTACAGAAAAGAGCCCCCGAGGGAAGAGAAGGTCAGGAGAAGTTCCAGGGTAGGTCTTTGGAGAAGAAACTTCCAGGACGTTGGGTTTCAAGTTAATCAAGAAAATAACCCCAGAGAGCCTTCAGTCAGGTGTGCCAGTGACATCACATTTTCATTTAGGGCTGTTTTCAAAACTGAACAATAAGCTCTCTATCCGAGGTCGTAAACACTGAAGATGGGTCAGCTTTATCATCTCCCATTTTTACTATCTGCCACGAGAGAGAAATTACAGGGCAAAGCGACTCGTCCCAAGAAACTATTCAACATGCATGTGTTTTCAAATTCTCTTCCTTCACCTCTAAAAGGTCATTTCCCAGAGACAGAAATCATGACTTGTAGAGACTTTTCTCTCATTCTGGGCCTGGCCTCTTGTGGATCCTTGATAAATATTATATATGCAGATGATGATATTGCAAAATGAAGATGGCACCTTGAGGTTAACATAACTCCCACTCCGGATTAAGGAAGGAAAAGCTTTGCCTCCACACACCCTCCCACTGCTGGCCTGGGTCAAGAGACACGCATCGAATTGGCCCTGGACAGCGCCCCACCATGACCGCTGGCAGTGTCCCTTGGCTAGGAAGGCTGCCGCCGGACCCAGCAAGCCCGTCGCTCTCGTGGGAGTTCTTTACAGGAGGCTCGTGTGACGGGAGTCTGCAGGCATCTAAGAGGGCAGAGGTCAACAGAATTAGCCAGAAGATTCCGAACAGTAGCTCACATGTGCAGACTGACTCCCACAGAAGACCTCTCTGGTCTGAAGTCAGAAATAGTTTTCCAAGTCATCACTGGTCTGGTCAGTCACGCACACCCCCCATTGGTCCTAAATGTTTTAGTTAAGGATTTACATTCAACTCAGGGTCTGAAGTTGTAAAATAACAATGTTTAAAATGAGTTCTGCAGAAAATAGGCAGCACCCCTGACGCAGGGCCGCTGTTACTATTAGCAGTGATCCTACGGACAGGCCGTGAGCAGAGCCCTCGAAAACATTTCTGGAGCACACGGCCTTTCCTACCAGAACAACCGAAACATTCTAAATGTGATTCATTTCTGCAAGAGCCTTGTATTCAAGGAGCCACCTGCAGTAAGTCCCCATCATGCAGGTGGAGAAACTTACATGTGGAGCTTCCCGGGAAGCCAGGGACTGTCAGCTCTCCAAGACCCCGGGGAGGGTGTGTGTGCATCCTCATCAGTCTCACAGTGGCTTTCAACCGGAGCTGCACTTAAGTTCTCCATACTAGTTCTCAGCCGGCCTAGTTTCTATTCATCAAAGTGGCACTAGCAGAAGAATGTTTTTTAACTCATTGTGTTTTAAACACTGAAACCAAGAATGCAAACTTTATAAACAAAGCTACCTTCAAGGGCAAACATATGACAACCCTCCCATCCAAGCAGCCACCAACCTGGAGGCCTCACATAGACGCGGAAGGAAAAACACTTGTCCCCTGGGGAGCTCTGAGTTTTCCCAGTTTTAGGGACTCCAGAGGTAGTAACTACTTTGTCTTCACATCTCTTCCAAGGGGAGGAAGAGGTCGTCTACTGGCCCAGTCACAGGCCCAAGAGAACTCTGGAGTCGGGCTCTGGATTAGCTCCAAATTCTTAATCCTGGCCAAAAGGAAAAAAAAAAAAAAGGCATACCCTGGGAACGGGGAGGGGGAAAGGAAGTGTATATTAAGCATTTGATGACTAACAAATACAATGTATTTTTGGAAATGTTGGTTTCAACCTACTTAGGAAGCTGAAGTGTGGAGGGAGCCGAGAACGAGTGTGGAGGCCCAACACCTTCCGGGAGAGTTTCCCCTCCACCCAGGGCTGCCCACAGCGCCTGTGAAGGCCACGGAGGCCGCAGCTCAGAGAGGTGATGACAGTTTGGGGTTCTTTCCTGACTGCTGTTTTGCAGACGTGCATCTCATTATCAGCTGAGCGTTCATCAGGCCTTCCCCCCAGGCTTCCTTGAGGTGTCCGGGTCACTCAGCCGGCGTGGGCAGGTGAATGAAATTCCCACTCCAGGCAGCAGAGGCCCTCCTGTATCACCCCTCTCCTGGGGGCTCCAGAGACGCCCCGCTGCCTCTTCCCAGTCCTTCCCTGGCACCACTGCTGTCCTGGCCTTGCTCTCAGATCCATGTGCCACCTTATCCCATTTTTTAGGGATAGCCTTGACCCCAAATCAGTTCTTGATGAGGGGATGGGGAGGGGCTGCTGTGTTTTCACTGTCTCTCCACAGGCTGCTTCTGTTTCTTTCCTTGTCTCTCTCCTCTCTGCTCCTCCCCTGCAAACCTCCAGTGGTGGGCAGAAGGATGACCACCCCCCTGCAAAATGTCCACCTCCTAATCCTCAGAACCTGTGAATGTGCTACCTCACATGGCAAAAGGGATTCGCAGATATGACTAAGAATCTTGAGATCCTGAGGAAAGGATGCTGAATTATCCAGGTGGATTCACTGAGTGGATCCCAATGTAATCATAAGTGTCCTTATATAAGAAAGGCAGGAGGATTAGAGCCACAGAAAGAGATGTGAGGATGGAAGGAGAGGAAAGAGAAAGAGGGAAAGAAGGAAAAGGAGAGAGAGATTCTACACTGCTGGCTTTAACAATGGAGAAAGAAGGGGGATGGGTAGAGCTCAGTGGCAGAGCACACACTTAGTGTGCATGATGTCCCGGGTTCAATCCCCAGTCCCTCCATAAAAAAGTAAAAATAAAAAAATGAAGATGGAGAAAGAGGCCACCAGCCAAGGAAGGCGGGTAGCCTCTGGAAGCTGAAAGGGATTCTCCCCTAGAGCCAAAAGGAAATAGCCTCCCAAGCCCTTGATGTCAGTGAGACCCACATTGGACTTCTGATCCTCGGAACTGTAAGATAACAAACTTGAGTTGTTTTAAGCCACTAAGTTTGTGATCACTGGTTACAGCAGCAGTAAGAAATGAATACAGCACCCAAACACAGATGCATAGGTGGCAAAAGACGGGCACATGGGGAGGGAGGTCTATTAGGGCCTTTTCTCCTCCCCATGCTCCTCAGCTCCCTACCCCATTGTGGCCCCAGTGTTGGCCCTGGCCCTGCACCAGCACCTGTCAGCAACCACCTCACCTCTGACCCCAGACCAACTCCCCTGCAGACAACGCCTCTCCTCCCTGGGCAAAACTTGCAGCAGAGGTCACAAATAGACTCCCTTGCCCCTTCTCCTCTGCCTGCACTTCCTTCTGGGCCATCAGAGAAGAGTTGCATCCTAGTTTAAACAAACACCAACAACAGCAGAGGCTCAGAGGCAGCCCACCAACCTGAGTCAGATGTATCTGGCTCAACATCTAGGGGAGAAAAGTGAGTTCACCAAGTACTCAGTATGGAAACCATGTGCATAGCATTACACCCAGGCCACTGCTTTGGACACAAACGTCCACGTTAGAGAATCCGCATGTCTCCAAAGACAAAGACTCAGCTTCATGACTGGAAGAATGTGACCTTTAGATAAAAACACCTGCACCTGCCTCTTGCCCTTGTCAGAACAGGAACCAAGATAAACACAGCTTCCAAGTTTCCTCTTACAAAATAACTGGCATTATTGTTCGCGCTTTATTAAGCGTCTTAAGTGCTCTAAGAGAGAACCTCACGTGCGTGAGACCCCGGGCAGCCCCTGAGGCTGTCCACACGAAGAATGTCAGGAACAGGACGGTGTGAGTGGACAAAATGAGAGGCAGACAGGTGGAGCGGTGATGTCAGCCACCAGCAGGGGTGGTCCGACCACTGGCTGAAAAATTTGCAGAACAAATAGGTCGGAAGACAAACGTTTTCTAAATTTCTCCTTTTGAAAACTTAGTTGAAAATACCTCACATCTCCCCAAAGGACAGGTGGGCTTTGCCAGTTCCCATACAGAGGAACTTCTAATACTCATGGGCCAAACTGGGAGACATTTTTTTCTCAGGTAAAAAACAAGCCATGTCCACCAGGACACCTTTTGGGGAACCAGGAGCCTCAGAGCAAGCTGCTCATCCGATCTTTCCAGGATCTTTCACATTTCAAATGCACACAAATGAAATAAGCTAGTCACAGAGGACAAACATTGAATGATGCTTCTTCTATGAGGTTCCCAGAGCAATCAGATCATAGAGACACGAATTAGAACGGTGGTTTGCATCGGCTGGAGACGAGGGAATGGGGAGGTTATTTTGTTTGGGTTTGGTTTGGTTTTTTGTTTGTTTTTTTTAATGGATATGACATTTTAGTTCTGGAAGATGAAAAAAAATTCTGGAGATGGATGGTGGTGATGGATGCACAATGCGAATCTGTTTAGTGCCAACTGAACTGTACACTTAAAAATGCTTAAAATGGTAAATTTATATTACGTATATTTTACCAAAAAATTCCTGTACCAAACTCTACCTCCTGCTGTTTTCTCATACTGAACTACAGCCATAAACACCTAAAACGTGTCTTATTTTGAATGAATCCTTTCCTTGGTTGCAAAGCAGAACGCAGAGAAAGCGCGCAGGCCAGAACAACCCGCCCTTCCAGCGGCGCCGCGAGGGCGGGGCTTCTCGGGATTGGTCGCCCGGGAGGCCCTCCCTACCTGGTTTGAAAGTGATGCTCAAGGTCGTAGCGCTGTAGCACCTCGTCGCAGTGCTCGGTGAACGGGCAGGTCACCAGAAGCTTGTTGAGGAGCTTGTTGACCAGGATGCTGGATTTCTTGCAGTGCTGCAGAACCAGAGGCTTGCGATCCACGGGGCAGAAGTCCTTCTCCACCAGGAAGTTGGTGAGGCAGAGCGTGCAGTAGGTGTGTCCGCAGGGAGTGTCCAGAGGGTCCAGCAAAGCTTGCAGGCAGATGTGGCAAATGAGGTCATCGTCCACGTCTTCTGTGTAGGTGTAGAAGTGGTTTTCTTCGGGCGAGTGGGCTTGGCCGCACGCCACGCACAGGGGTGCGGGGCTGGGATCTGGGTCATCGGCAGGATCTGCCTGGCTCATGGTCGGCTGGGTGGGGGCGAGGCAGTATGACCGGAAGCCAACCCACGAAAACACAGCTTCCTCGGGAGCAAATCAAGGTCTTCCTGGAGCCATCCACTAACCTGAAAGAGAATAAGACATCTCATCTTGGGTTGCACAGCACGCTGAATACGCGGTTTGTTATGAACGTGAGGCAGGGCAGCCGGTGGCCAGAAGTGAGTGGTGACTCAGAAGCCAGGGCTGAGTGCCCACTCGGGTGACTGACATGGCCCGGGGCCAGCGTCTTTGCCTCCTTCTGCCTCAGTTTAACCACCTATCCCAGCGGCAACCACGTTTACCTTTAACAACCTCATGTTGATGTGGTGAAAATCCTTTGGGTAACATCTGGGAAATGCCCAGAAATACACTCTAAGAAATGTAATTTGTTAATTAAAAAGACCAGTGATTTATAAAGTTCTCTGTCAGAGAAGGACAAGAAGAAAAGCAGTTAACACTCTGATGGCTGTCTCTTAGCTTCCCCACCCTTCTCCAAAACTCAGAACATATAGGACCTTGGAGTCTTCAACTAAATCATCTGAGAAGTTGAGGCTGCTGTATGTTTCTGATGATAAAGGCAGTGTTTTCTTCTACATGCATTTCATTTACTCAGTCACTTAGTGGTAAAGTGGGTTCTGGAGCCACACCACCTGGGCCAGTCCCGCCACCACTGCAGGCCAATGATTTAAGCCTCTGTTTCCACATCTGTACAATGTGGATAATAATAGCCTACTTCATAGGATTATTGTGAGGATTAAAAGAGATATGAGACATAAAGCTCTTAGAATTGTCCCTGGAATATAGTAAGTGCACACTGAATATTAACTATCCTTACATAATGTATATTTGTTACTGAATTCATTCTGTCTCCAGTCTAGCTCTGTTGGCTTAGAAACTAAAAGCTGAAATTTCTATAAAGGTGTGTGTGTGTGTGTGTGTGTGTGTGTGTGTGTGTGTGTGTGTGTGTGTTTGCCTTTGTTCTAATCATCTCTTTTGTTCAAAAAAATATATATATATATATTTCAAACTAGGAGTGTACTATCCCAGCATGTAACTCCCTTTGGTATATAAGTTTAAGATGGAGTGTTTAACATGCCTGATTAACATCCAGAAAGTCTCCTGGATGATCAGTCAAAGACTTTTTTTTTGGCCTTCAATCATCTTTATTAATGAGCTGCAGAAGAATGAGATTTGTAACAATGAGAATCATAAACATCTCTGTTTTCAGTAAACATTTTTGAGCACCAACTTGAGCTAGGTAGTGAGTTGGCTGTGGAAGAGACCTTCAAGAGAGCTTTAAAGGATATGCCTGCCTTCATGGAGTCCCAAGTCCAGGGAAGGTGGACGTGAACACTATAATCAGAAGTCCAGATAAGCAGTGCAAAGGCAGGTAAGTGCTAGGAGACTCTGGGTCGACTCTCAGGACAATTAAGAATCCCGCAGCTACCCCCATCCCTATCCCCCAACTCAACTTTCTAATTTTCTGAAAGTAAATAAAACGACTTTCAGCTTTCCACGGGGACATAAAGACACATGAATAACCTAACAGGAAACTAGCCACGTTTGGGAATAGCACAGCAGTCATAAACTGTGTTAGTTTTCTCTTTTCCAAATAAAGTCCGAGGTTGTTTGTACAAACAGAGACTTATCTCAAAAAGAAAATCCATCGACTTCAAACTTTCACTGAGTCAGCTGCCTGTTTACATTTCTGGGCTGCACTAATACGCGTGGAAGAACAGTCTGGTCAAGAGGTGGAAGTAAAAGGCCCTGAACGTGAAAGCATGTAGGAATCACAGCATTTTATTTAGCATCCAAAGAGCCCACGGGAGGCTAAGGCAGAGGGTGCAGGAGAGGGTGAAGTTGTTTCTAGCTCAGTTTCATGGAAACCTACACAGCTGCTGTGTGTCCTTTAGGCTGATAGAAGGTCCTGGAACCTCACAGGAAGTGCTTTAAGGGGCATGAAAAACAGTGGAAAAATAAACACGAGAATGGAAATGGGCCACCCAAAAGATTATCATCTACTCTAGGAAAGGAAGTTCACGTATTTTGAACTAAAACACTAGATCTTTTAAATTGTAAGAGTTTTGTGGAATACTTCCCTGGGTTTGGGTTCTGTCTGTTCTTTCTCGCTGTGCTGGGCCCGAGAGTGACAGGAGTGCTCTGGTCGAACCACTGAAAAAAACGTCACAATTCTGGGCCATTCCTTTATCGGTGAAATGGCCAGATTTTTGGTTTGCACACTGTGCTCTGGAAGGTGTGTCAGAGGCCTCAGGGTCTTCCAGAAAAGGAAAGGAGGGACGGTGGGCCGTCTCCACTTCTCCATCCCGCCCAGTCCCAGCTCCACTTTTATCTCACACATCAGCTTCCTCATAATATATTCTTCAAAGAACCCTGGCTTAAGGAAAATAAAAGCAAACAACCAGACTAGATACTATGAAATCCCTTTCAGAAACGGAGTCCTATGGTTCTGCGCTAATAAAGTAGAGGTGTTTTATTTTGAGGTGGTTCGATTTTGGGAAAATCTCTTTTTTTTTCTTTCTGACACACTTTTGAGCATTTACCATGTGCAGGCACTATGCTGGGGCCTTAGATATATTGTTATTTAATCTTTACAAATCCCCAGGGGTTTTGTTTTGGTTTTTTTTCATTTAACAAATGAGGAAACAGGTGAAGCAGGTAAGAAACTTGCCAGTCACACCAAAAAACAAAAAACAAAAAACCCAGAGTAACTGCTGACTCCAGTTACTGCTCTTACACATTTTGCTGCTTTTCTCCTGGCATCTTTCTTGACTCCCAAAATGTGACTAACTAAATATGGGAGCCCCAGGAAATTAGAAGGTTAAAAATCTCTTTCAGCCTCCTTGCAAGGGGGACCCCCTTTCCCAAGGTCTCTGAATGAAAGGGCTCTGACTTTACTGAGTGTAAGATGCCTGAGGCAGGGTGAGTGGACCGGGACAAGCAAAAATGGCCGGTTTTAGTTCCAACACCAATTCGTTTTTCTTTTCTTCCTTTTTTTCTCTGAGAGCAATTTGAATTCTCGGGCACTTACTCATGTGAGTAAACCAGATTCTTCACATAATATTAATGTAAACATCACTGTATATATTTTCCAACTTTGCTTTAGACTAAATAAAGCCTATATGAATAGACACAGATGAGAGAGTTGGCTGAAAAAGCAATTTGGGGCTCCAAAGGAAAAAACTAGGTAGACTTTTAAAAATATGATTAATATCATTTACCTGATGTTTCTTAGTTCCAGTTTACATCTTATTAGCATGTACGATGGATCATGTTTTTAGACATATATTTATCTTGCTGAGGGACTGAGAAGAAATTATCAAAAATCATTAAGGCTTCAAAAGTAAACAATTTTCTCCCCTAAAAGTGAGCGCGAGGGCCTGTCAGCTTTGAGTACATCCTCGGTGCTCAGTGTGTGGGCACGCTGGCCCTGGCTGAGAGGAGGAGGGAGCCGCAGTGGGGCTTCTTTGCAGTTTGGAGTAAGAAAGAGCAGGAAGTGGGTTCTCTCCTCGGGTGTGTGTAGGGTGGTGGGGGCGGAGAACTTACACCTCCTTGGTAGGCCCTGTTATGGCTCAGGAACCAACCTTCCTCCTTCCTCTCTGATTTGGGGTGGAATAGAGGCCTGAGGTGACTTTCAGAGAGAAGTGTCGTCCACCAATGTCGTGCTGGAAAGTACCACGAAAAGTAAAAATCTCCCTCAATCCCCACTTCCGTTCCCATTCGTTTATCTTGCTGGAAATTGCTACAGAAGTTCTTCTCCCTAACTTGCAAATTCTAGACTTTCCTGATAACAAAGGTGCATTTCAGAGCAAAAGTGAGTCAGCAGTGTCTGCAACCGAGAGGGTCGTCAGAGGGCGTATGTACACTGACTCCTGCACTGGAAAAATCCAGTAGACTGAAGACTTAATAGCCTTAAGCACAGCCTTTGGGAGGGAGATAAAGAGGCACAAACTTCCAGCTCCAAAATGAATGACTCAGAGAGACCCACTTCAGAGCTAGAGACACATGCAGGCTGAAAGTAAGGGGATGGACAAAGAAAGATGGACTAGCAATTCTTATCTCAGACACAATAGATTTTAAGAAAACAAAATGACTCAGGGGATGAAATGGACAGTGTGGGATGTATAGTCAGTAATGATGTAGTATCTTCGTATGGTGACATTTTGTAACTAGACTTACCATGGTGATCATTTTGTAATGCACAGAAATATCAAATCACTATGTAGTGCACCAGGAGCTAACATAGTGTTTGTTGTAGGTCAATTATACTTCAATAAATGAGCAAACTCATAGAAAAATAGATCAGAAATGTAGTTACCAGAGTGGGAGGAGGGGAACTGGATGAAAGTGGTGAAAAGATAGAAACGTCTGGTTATAACATACGTATGTATTAGGGAAGAAACGTACAGCATGATTAATATAATCAACACTGCTGTATGTTACATGTGAAAATTAAGAGAGTAAATCCTAAGAGTTCTCATCACAAGGGAAGAATACATTTTTCTTCTATTTTGTGGCTTTATGAGATGATGAACGTTCACTGAACAAATTGTGGTGATCATTTCATGATGTATGTACATCAAATCATTATGCTGTACGCTTCAAACTTATACAGTGCTGTATGTTGATAACATCTCAATAAAATTGGGTGGAAAAAAATCACACACAAAAAGAACAGCCTTTGGGATACAGCCTGTTTGGAAGCAGAAAAAATTTTGCATGAGATAATCTACAAGAACAATGGGGTCTCTGGTGGCCATTGTCCCACTAATTTTCCTTTAAATGCACACTGGCTTTACAAAAAGTGGTTATCTGATGTAGTCAGAATAAACCATATACAGCACTGGAAAAGTGATGGATAAACATGTCACCTGGCATGCTGCGCAGACAATTTCACATTTTCCTCCTACTGAAGGGACTTGACTCCAGAGCATCTCTTGAATAGGTGCATGAGTCATAGCTTTCCAACAATAGTAATGGGATCTCATGATATTCAAAAGAATCTGTCCTTGTAGTCAAATGGCAATGTGTCCTGCATTGGTACTTTAACCTTGACAAACATGAAACA